AAGGGAAGGTGACAGATTTTGCTTCTATCTTGAAACAGGAAAGATGAGAGTGAGTTAGGCCTAAAGGATGCTTCCCTTGGGGAGCATCCTTGACTTGGGGAGGCTGTGTTGGGTGTGAGTTGGCAAGGCCAAGAACATGGAGAGGGTAGGAGGAGCAGACAGACCAAAATTAGGCGGTGTGATCAGAGAATAGAGTGGGGACTGTGCATTCTCAGAATCCAGGGACAGTGGCCTGACCGATGCCATCCATCTGGAAAGATCTAAGAAGGGATCTCACAGTGATAGTGACCTTTCTCTGTGGGTTACCGAAGGCTTGATGTGAACAAGGTAAGAATGCTTCCTTAGGGTCTGGGGTTTGAGTTCCAGGACTCAGTCTGCTGTGAGCAAGTGGAGGAGACCTGTTCTGGCTTCCTCTACAAAGACAGAATAAAACATCTGCCTTGCGTCTTGCCCATGAAGTGAGCAGTTTTGTTCTTGCTGCAGGCCCCTGCCTGCTACCACAGGGCCAAAGCCATGGGACCAACTGCTCCTGAACTGGAACCTCTAAAAACATGAGTCAAAATAACCCTTCTTCTCTTTGTAAGTTAATGATATCAATTTGTTACAGTAATGGAAAGCAGATGGATTGACTATTAGAACTGGAGAAGATTGTAATGATCTGAATAATGAGTGAGAGACCAGGGGCTGGGAAGGTGACTCAGTGGTGGAGTGCTTGCCTCGCATGCATGAGGCCCTGGGTTCCATTCCTCAGCACCACATAAACAGAAAAAGCTGGAAGTGGTCCTGTGGCTCAAGTGGTAGAGTGCTAGCCTTGAGCTGAAGAGCTGAGCAGAGTTCAAGCCCCACAACTGACCAAAAAAAAAAAATGAGAGATGAGAGACCATTAATGAAATTCAACAGTGAATGCACTAAGAAATGGGTGTCAGGGTTTAAGAAATGTGCAACTGGGAAGATTTGATTTGATTTTAAAGTTAGCGTAATGTGGCCATAGTTATCCACAAGAAAGGAAGAAATGGAAAGGATCTAGATGGGCAACACTCCTTCTGAGGATGCCTTCTATTGTGATTCTAGAATATTCTAGAATATTCCTTCGTATTGTCCCACCAAGGGAATGGATGATCGGTGTGGCTCGTTTTCACTGTCCCTCTGACTACCCAGCCTTTTCCTCCAGTGACCCACAAGTCTCCCAGTAGCCACCAGTCTCCTTGTGTCGGTGGCTCACACCTGTCATCCTAGCTACTCAGGAGGCTGAGATCTGAGGAGCACAGTTCAAAGCCAGTCTAGGCAGGAAAGTCTATTGAGATTCTTTTTTTTTTTTTGGGTCTGGTTGTGGGGCCTGAACTCTGGGCCTGGGCGCTGTCCCTCAGCTCTTCAGCTCAAGGCTAGCGCTCTACCACAAGAGCCACAGCGCCACTTCTGGCTTTTTTCTTTTTGCTTATGTGGTGCTGAGGAATCGAACCCAGGGCCTCAGGCATGCAAGGCAAGCGCTCTACCACGGAGCCATCTTCCCAGCCCTCTATTGAGATTCTTGTCTCCAATTAACTAGCAAAAAACTAGAAGTGGTACTGGGGCTCAAGTGGTTGGTAGAGCATCAGCCTTGAGGGGAAAAAAAAATGCTAAGGGACAGGGCCTAGGCCTTGAATTCAAGCCCCTGTACTGGTGCATGCACATGAGCGTGCGCGCGCACACACACACACACATGTAAGTGAAAAAAGCGTTCTTCACCATTCTGTGATGACTGGGGAGATGGGTGCCCATCCTTACAGGCCTCATCTCCACATTCTCCACCTCCCTACTTGGCCTATTCTGCCATTCGCTTGGGGGCTGAGCGGGTCTGGGACTCCACCCACTCAGGCTGATCTCTGGTTCTCCATAAAGATGAAGGATCACAAGGAGAATCCACAGGAAGCTTTGCTCCTTGGTGTTCCTGAGGAACAGGGTGCAGATTCTGAGGAACGGGAAGAAGCCATAGACACTCACATCACCTCGCTTCCTATGAGACTACAGGGATCAGCTGGATACTGTAGTTTTCCCTGAGTAGTCTATTTAGCCCATCTGAACAGAAAGAGTAATCAGTACAAGAGGAACAGGAAGAGGGGGGGAGCCAGAGTCTGGGGTGGGGTCATCACAGGTCTCCTCTTCACTCTGCTGGAGCACTGAACTAATCTCGTTAGTGATAGGGATAAAGAGGTGAGGGGGGAAGGTGGTGTAACACCAGCCTTGAGCGAGAATACCAAGGAGCAGCCCTGAGGCCCTGAGTTCAAGCCTGGGCCCTGCATCCCATCCTACTTCTGGAATTCTCTCCACACCACAGATCTAATGGGAGCAAGCTCTCTCTTGATGAAGTTTTGAGGCTCCCCCCCTCCACCATGACCCCTTCTATCTTGGTCCTTACCTAAACATTTTAGGCTCTTTTCAATTTGAGCTCTGCCGGCTGCTGGCCTCTCCTGAGCTGTGAACTCCCAGTGCATTCATTGGTGCCTGACTTTTTTTTTTTTTTTTTTTAATCAGAGGTGACCCTGGCTGACCCTGCTATGGGCCTTGGCCCATCCTCAGAGCCTTCTTGATCTTTCCTTGGCTAGAGGTGTGGCTGAAGTGGTAGAGTTCCTACCTTAGCAAGTACAAGACACTGAGTTCAAACCTCAGTCAGCACCTAAAAAAATAAACAATAATAAGACAACGATTTCAAAATGACTATGTATAAAATAAAGTTTAAAGTGTGGGTATTACAAAGGCTTTCTGCGAGACAACCCTTGGGTCTTAGTGATCCTCCTTCCTCTGAGTTCCACAACCCTGTAAACTTTTCATCCAACTCATCTATGCATTGATTCCATGTCAATTTTTGTTGTTGTTGTTAGTGAAGCTTGAATTCAGGACTTCACATTTGCTCCACTCCACTTGTGTTGTACCATTTGAGCCACACCTCTAGCTCTAGAGTTTTGCTGATTATTTGTTGGGAGGTGGAGGCTTGATGACTTTTCTGCCCAGTCTGGCTTCACACCATGATCCTCCAGATCTCAGCTTCCTGAGTATCTAAGATTGACAGGCGTGAATCACATGTGCCTGAGTCATTTCAATAAATCTTTAATATATAATAAAGCTGGGATGTAAAACTTGTCTATATTCTCTTTGTGTCAGAGCAAAGTATGCAGTTCAACCTGGCCTGGAACTTGGGATCTTCTGTATTTGCTTCCAGAGTGTCAACAGACACTGTCAGTATGTCTTAAGGAGGAAGGATAGATTACCTAAGGAAAATGTGGCATGGTAGATGGCTGCCAGGGATTCAAAGACTCAAGCTTAAAGCTTGTCCATCCACTTCCCTTAAGATTAAGGGAACAAGCCGGGCGCTGGTGGCTCACGCCTGTAATCCTAGCTACTCAGGAGGCTGAGATCTGAGGAGCGCCATTCAAAGCCAGCCGGGGCAGGAGAGACCATGAGACTCCTATCTCCAGTAAACCACCAGAAAACCGGAAGTGGCGCTGTAGCTCAAGTGGTAGAGCGCTCGCCTTGAGCTGAAGAGCTGAAGGACAGTGCCCAGGGCCAGAGTTCAAGCCCCACGACCGACAAAAAAAAAAAAAAAAGATTAAGGGAACAAAGCCATTTAAGGGAAGACAAGGGAAAAGGATGTACGGCACACTTGTAGCAAAAACAGGAGACATTCCTTCAAGTACTTCCCTTTAGATTATGGGAACAAAATCATTTTAGGGGAAATGAAGCAGGATTACTTAAGGAAACTGAGGCCTGCTGAAGGCAGCTCAGAAATATGGTATTTATTTATTTATGTCATGGGGCTTTATTGAACTCTGGCCCTGGGTGCTGTCCCAGAGCTCTTCAGCTCAAGGCTAGCGCTCTACCACTTGAGCCACAGCACCACTTCCAACCTTTTCTGTTTATGTGGTGCTGAGGAATGGAATCCAGGGCCTCATGCATGCATGCTCTACCACTGAGCCATCTTCCCAGCCCCAGAAATATAGTATTTAGAAACACAGAAGTACCAGCTTTACTTTAAAGCTAGACACTATGGTACATCCCTTCCTGAGGGATGCATTCCTCACCCCAAGAATTAACACTTGTCTGACTGGACTTTGCCTTCCGGAGGAAAATTGTTTCCCCCAAACTTAAGCAATCTCATTTCCGAAATGCAGATCCTTATCTCAAGGATAAGGATCTGTTTTTATGGGAGGATGAATTCTTATCTGGAAACCCAGAAAGTAACACCAACTGTGATTGGAGCAAAGACAAAGCACCTATCTTCACAAACTTTGAAGTCAGACCCCCTGCTTTTACCCTATAAATACCTCCCAACAGCCCAAGGAGCTGTATGTCCCTGCCCTTCTGTTTGTCTGCTTTTTGTCTGTTTGTCTGCTTGCTTATTTACTCAATAAAGCTCTGCCAAGTTTTCTTACCATTGTGACCTGTCCAGAAATTCTTATTCTGCGATCGAAGTCAAGGGCCCTAAGTGAAGCGTTCCTACATTTAAAGGAAAACTTCACTAACCCTCACCTGTGTCTGGTGACTTTACCTTGTGGGAAAGCCTTTGTTTGGATATCTAATTCTCCTCAAAGCTGGAAAGATCCTGCTTGCAGTGTGGCGAGTGAAGGAAGGTTGCACAGGACCTCAGCCTTTCTGGTTTTTGTTTTTTTAAGTTAGATATAACCATATGAGCCTTGTCAGCCTCACAGGGTTGGGATGAGAATGTAGGTAGCGTGCGGCACGTGTAGGACTTGTAGGGCTCATTGACCAATGAAGGCCTGGTACACCCACATCTCTCAGCTCATTCTTTCTGCTTCTTCCTGGACCCATTTCTTCACAGCTCTGGCCCAGCCTTTGATCTCAGGGCTTGATACTAAACAAGTATCTCCAGTCAGGGTCTAGGGGACTCTGTGTCCTACACCTAGAAAACCCGCCCGTGTCTTCCTATCCCTTTGGAATAATCCCTTTAGAGCCCAGGTCTTTAGTTCACGAAGTCTGCACGAGCGACCAATCGCCAGATCGGTGGTATGTGGTTCCTGTACCGCTCCCATGTATTCAAAACAAGCTGTGTGTTTCTTGACTCCAGGGCAGAGGACCCTCCCCTCGTCCCCCTCCCCGCTCCACGACGTGGGATTCCTCGTGGGATCCCGCCCCGCTGAGCACAAGAAAGAAAGCCGAGGTCCCGCAATTCTGGGCTCCACGATTGCCCGATAGATTTCAAAGCTCCTTTCTCCGGGGAGGCTGCAGGAGCGCGCGGACCACGTGAGCCGCGCTGAGAATGGCATCCCTAAGAGTATGTGTTCCAGCAGCCGAGCAGGGCCCCGGGTCTTGGAGCGGACTTCACCAGCCGGCCAGCCCGCCAGCCCGCCCGGGTGGCCGACCGCCGGGAGGCGACTGAGCCTTTTCTTTGTGCCGGCATCAGGTGCAAATCTCCGAAGCGCGCGCAGCGGGTGCGCGCGCGCACAGGCGCCGGGGTTTGCAAGCCGGGCCCGGCTAGCCGCCTCCCCCTCCCCCCGGCCCCACTTGGCTGGGCTGGGTGGCAGGGAGGGCGGAGGGGATCCGCCTCGGCTCCCCCGGAGCTGCAGCCCGGGGAGGGGGCCGTGGAGAGGAGGTCGGACACGTAGCCCGCCGCCCCGCGGGCGGGCGGGCGGGCGGGGGTGGGGAGGCCGGGGACCGCCGGCGCTCCAGCCCGCTGGCCTTCGAAAGATCCTCCTGGGCCAATGGCAGGCGGGGCGACGCGCCCTGATTGGTGCAGGCGCTCTGCTGATCACTGTGGAAACCCGGGGTGGCGGGGAACGCGGGAGGATGCGGAGCCCCGGGCGGGAGGGGGGGCGGGTGGAGGAGGGAGGAGGAGGAGGAGGAGGTGTCGGAGCCCTGCTACCCCGGGAGTTTTTTTTTTACTGGAGGGAAAAGTCCACCGCGGGCGGGCGGAGGGTGGGGAGAAGGGCCGGGACCGCTCGGGGGTGGGGGGTGGGGTTGGGGGGGTCCTGGGAAGCCGGGTAACTCAGTGGGCAGCTGGGGATCCGCGCGCGCTGGCGAAGGCGAGGAGGAGCGA